CGGTCGGCCCAAGGGGGCTGGCGGCTCGCCTGCCAAGGGCGCTGGCGGCACGGGCGGCTCCTTGTCCACGCTCCCACCGCGGCGGGCCGACCTCAGCGTCACAGAGCAGGTGATGGCCGTCGTCGGCGTGCTGGGGCTAGAGGAGGACGCCAGCTATCTCCAGGCCCTGGAGGCGGCTGCGGCATGTCTCGAGCCGCCGTCTGAGCCGCCGTCTGGGGCGCCGCCCGAGCGCACGCCCTCGTAGCGCCTGCAGTCCGCCAGCGGCCGCGAGGACCATGCCGTCCACACAATGGAGTGGGCGCGCTGCAAGCGCTTCGACCTCGATCACCGAGGTGGTTGCTGCCTGCCTCGTTGTGGCCAGTGCTCGGGAGGAGAAGCGGGCGGCCATGCCGGCCCAGCTCCCCGAGCCCGCGCCGCGGCCTGCGACGGCGAACACGCTGCTGTGGGAGGCGGTCGTGGTCGAGGACCTCGAGGAGCTCGAGCCCGAGGCCAGGACCGCGCTTCCGGCGGAGCAGGAGCCGTCCTGGGCGCAGGCTGAGGAGGCAAGGCGCAGCCACGACGCTCGCCTCGCCGAGCGGATGCAGCGCAAGCAGCAGGCGCGCGAGGAAGTCAGCAAGAAAAGCGGCGGCAGGAGGCGCCGCCCTCACAGAAGGCGCCAGCGCCGCCCCAGGCCCCCGGGCCCGCTTGCCAGGGCGAGCCCCTGGCGGCAGGGACAACGTGCGCGGCCGCGGGCAGCTCTGCTGCTGCCGGTGGCAGATCGGCGTCGGCGGCTGCCGCGGCTCCCAGCGCTGCCTCGGATGGCGATTCGCGCCTCCGTGCGATCGCCAGGGAGACGGCCGAGACGCAGATCGTCCAGGATCGGTTGCTGCGTGGCAGTGCTGGGGCGGCTGCTGTGTCTGCTCCTGCACCGGGGTAATTCGCCTGCTTGCGGCGGCGGGGTCGCTGCCAGAGGAGCCTGTGGCCCCCAGGGAAGGGGGAGTATGCCCGATCGCTGGTCCTCAAGCGTTGCGTTTGGCGGGGCCGTTCCACCTGCCCGACTACACGTCTCCTCGGTCGGGGCAGGTCTGCGGTGTCGACCTTGAGGAGTCGGCCGCTTGGCGCCGCGGTGGGCCCCGCGAAGTCGGCAGTGCCGCCAGGGGAGATGGGGGCCCAGGCCGTTTTCCCACCCCTGGCGGGGCCGGCGACGCTTGCTACGATAGGACCCAAAGCCGCTTTCCACCCCCAGCGAGACTGGCAGCGCCCGCGCCGGGGAGCCTAGCTGGTGGGGTCGGGGATCGCGCCGCCTCGCCCCACCCCAGACCCCTTCTCGTCATGAAGAAATCACGACGACAGGTTTTTCACAATGTTCTGCCTTTCGGGGCCCTTGCCGTCCCTCGGGAACGTCAAAGATAGACTCAGGATGAAACATTGGTCCCCAGAAATGGGTCGACTGGGGGTCGACGTTGTGACAAAAATCATGAAGTCGGGGGTTTGGGGATCGCGCCGCCTCGCCCCACTTGTTCTGGTCCCGCTGGAGAGGCCTCCAGCCAGCGTCCTCTCGCCCGTCCCTGCCGCCGCCAATGGCGCCGGAAGCGGTGGCGCTGGGCGAGCCGCACCCCGAGCCCGAGCTGGGCGAGGGCAGGGAGAGCCGGCGTTCGTCGGCCAGCTGCTTGTGCTGCTGCTGCTGCTGCTGCTGCAGCTGCTGCTTCTCTCCAGAGGAGGAGGGGGAGGAGGAGGAGGAGGAGGAGGAGGAGGAGGAGGAGGAGGAGGAGGAGGAGAGGAGGAGGAGGAGGAGGAGGAGGAGGAGGGGAAGAGGAGGAGGAGGAGGAGGAGGAGGAGGAGGAGGAGAGGAGGAGGAGGAGGAGGAGGAGGAGGAGGAGGAGGGGAGGAGGAAGAGGGAGGAGGAGGAGGAGGAGCGGGAGGGGGAGGAGGAGGGAGGAGGGAAGGAGGAGGAGGAGGAGGAGGAGAGGAGGAGGAGGGAGGAGAGAGGAGGAGGAGAGGAGAGGAGGAGGAGGAGGAGGAGGAGGAGGAGGAGGAGGAGGAGGAGGAGGAGGAGGAGGAGGAGGAGGAGGAGGAGGAGGCGGAGCAGGAGGAGGAGGAGGAGGAGGAGGAGGAGGAGGAGGAGAAGGAGGAAGAGGAGGAGGTGGAGAGGGAGGAAGGGAGGAGGAGGAGGAGGAGGAGGAGGGGGAGGAGGAGGAGGAGGAGGAGGAGGAGGAGGAGGAGGAGGAGGAGGAGGAGGAGGAGGAGGAGGAGGAGGAGGAGGAGGAGGAGGAGGAGGAGGAGGAGGAGGAGCACGAGGAGGAGGAGGTGGTGGAGGAGGATGAGAGGAGGAAGGAGGGAGGAACGTAGGGAGGGGGGAAGGGAGGAAGGGCGGGCGGGAGGGAGGGCGGGCTGGAGGGCGGGAGGGCGTGTGGGAGGGTGGGAGGGGGGGAGGGTGGGAGGGCGGGAGGGCGGGAGGGCGGGAGGGAGGGAGGGAGGGGAGGGAGGGGAGGGAGCGAGGGAGCGAGGGAGGGAGGGATGAAGCAGGACGAGGCGGGGTGATTGGGGAGGAGGAAGCGGGATGAGGAGGAGGAATAGGAGAAGGAGGAGTTGGATGATGTTGATGATGCTGATGATGCTGATGCTGATGCTGCTGATGATGTTGTTGCTGATGATGGTGCTGCTGATGATGATGATGCTGATGATGATGACGATGCTGCTGATTGTGGTGGTAGTGTTGATGATACTGATTACGATGCTGCTGATGATGATGCTGACGATGATGATGATGCTGATGATGATGATGCTGATGGTGATGATGGTGATGCTGATGCTGATGGTGATGCTGATGATGATGGTGCTGATGCTGATGAGTGATTATGATGATGCTGATGATGACGCTGCTGATTATGATGCTGATGATGCTGATGATGCAGATGATGTTGATGCTGATGATGCTGATGCTAATGATGATGATGCTGATTCTGATCATGATGCTGATGATGATGATGACGACGATGATGATGACGACGTTGATGCTGATGAGAATGATGATGCTGATGATGATGCTGACGATGATGCTGATGATGATGATGATGATGATACTGATTATGATGACGATGATGATGATGCTGATGGTGATGATGATGCTGATGATGATGATGATGATGATGATGATGATGATGATGATGATGATGATGAATTTGGGATTTCCAGGATTACCGTAATCACACGAGTGATCTTACATAGCGTGCCACCCCCTGACTTCGATGAGCACCGCGGCGACGGAGACCAGGAGGTCCACTCGTGGAGCCAGCCGAGAGATTTCTGGAACACGACGAAAACAACGTCATACTGCCCAATGGTTCCTTCCATCATGGAGATGCCCACTCCGTCCAAACCAAACCACCAAAAACATACAAATTGAATTCTGTGAGAAACACGCCACGACTGATAGAACGAGGAAGATGAAGACCACGCACAAAACCCAGGCATGTGCGGACACCACGGCGCCACATCTGCATCGCAGAAAACACCTCCCAGTCAACCAAGGAACGCGAAACCCACAAAGCTGATTGCACCAGCGTGACATTATGCATTTGACAAAAACCCACCGAGCCATGCTCAAGCACATGAGAATCGTGCTGTCGCACCCCGTGTGAACACGAACAGTCAGTCGACCAGAGCAAAATCCAAGCAGCCCTGGGCACTCAAGGCCTCAAACCTGGCGCGTTGCCATAGGAACCCGATCGGGAGCCTTGAGACTAGGGTCAGTGCAAAGAGGGGGTCAGCCAGAGCGCCGGATCTTACAGGATCCTGCACGGCCAGGGTCGCGTTGACCCGGGTTTTGGTGCAGGATCCTGCGGGATCTTGCAGGATTCTTCGCATTGACCCAGGTTTGGATGCAGGATTTTGCAGGATTCTACAAGTCCTGCCTGACCCGGGTCTGGATTGACCCGGGTCAGAAGATCCCCGACCCGAGAGCAGTTTGGACAAGAAGCGAAACAGCACCGATGTTAAGTCGGGCGTGTCCCTCTACAGGAGGAATTTTCAACAATGGTCAAAAATAGTCAGGGGACGATTTGTTCAATATTTTTGACTATGCTGGAGCATGTTTTAAAAGTATATTGTATTTTTCGTCCAAAATCTGCTGGTAGGGTGAGATGCCCTACCTAACACCAACATTGATTGCCAGAACAAGCTCCAGCGGCTGCATCCAAAGGTTAGAAATCCATACCCAGGTTGTGCGAAAAGGCAACAGCAGAAACCTCAGCACATACCCCAGGCGCCTGCCCAGCACGGTATGATAGAACCCGAGAGACATGGGGAGGAATGAAAGGAACAGTGCCATGATATTGCAATACAGAACGAGCATTTGAAGAAGGCCCCAGCGAAAACGTCCCAAGTCTTACAGGTGAAGCTACAGTACCAGGCCAGACTCGCTGTCGCCCACTTTTGCCCTGCTTCGCCGACGCAAAGAGCTGCACTACTGCATGCGGCTGCCACGTCGCCCCCCAAGCACCCCGTGACGGCGCAAGGCCCGGACTCGCTGAGGCCCCATCCGAGAGCAAAATTGCCACGGACAAGCCTCGAGCCGGTGCTTGAGATGATGATGATGATGATGATGATGATGATGATGATGATGATGATGATGACGATGACGATGACGATGACGATGATGATGATGATGGTGGTGGTGGTGGTGGTGATGATGATGATGATGATGGCGATGATGATGATGATGATGATGATGATGATCATGGCGATGGTGATGATGATGATGATGATGATGATGATGATGATGATGATGATGATGATGATGATGATGATGATGATGTTGCTGCTGCTGATGATGATGATGATGATGATGATGATGATGATGATGATGATGATGATAGTGATGGTGATGGTGGTGGTGGTGGCGGTGATGATGATGATGATGATGATGATGATGATGATGATGATGATCCCGCTCTCCCAAGGTGAGTATAGGCCGAAACGCCAACGCCGACCAAACTGCCGCTCCATTCAAGTGCGGTGCATCACATCAACACCCCACTCGCTCCGTCTGCTCCTTGGGCCTCGGCCCGTACTGCCTGCATGAACTCGTCCATGTCCATGCCCTTGTCTGTGCCCCCGTCGCGCTCCGCGGCGCGGTCGTCCTTGACCCTGTCCAGCGCACACCAGCGGAGCACCTCCATTGCGTCGCACTGCATCGTGGACGCGGCCGCCAGCGCGTCGAGGCTGGCGCAGTCCAGGAAGTGGGCCTTCTCCACGGGGCCGTTGGGGCCGAAGAGCGCCTCGTCGTCTAACCAGTCGAAGAAGCGCGTCGTCCCCTCGATCCCCGCCACGGCGCTGTCCCTGCCTGCAGGCTCACCGTCGAGAGGCCCCCGCCTGCGCCCACGTCGCCGTGGCTCTGCACCACGGCCAGCTTCTGGCCGTCGGCGCCGTCATCGTGAACGTGGGCCTCCAGCTCCTCCTCCTCGAACTCCTCGGCGTCGCTCGCAGGAGCTGTCGGGACGGTGCCGTCGACGCTAAACTCGCCCACGTCGTCGGACAGCATGCCGAACACGCCGCCCTGCCCCAGTGCCGTGGGGCCGTGCCCCCCCCGACCTCACCCAGGTACTGCGCGTCCTCCAGCTCCTCCTCGAGGCCCTCCTGCACGATCTCCTCCATCATCAGCTCCTCACAGACCTCGGTGGTGGCGCCCACGTCGCCTCGCACCCCGAGGCCCTCGAGCAGCCTGTCGACCGTGAGCAGCTCTCTCACCGCGAAGCAGTCGCTAGCGCCGCCGACCTCGCCCTTGACGATGCCGAACCTCTTGCTGCAAGCTTGTGCCTGCACATCGGGGAGCGGCGGATTATTCATGGGTTCATGGGATGAGGTTAGGGATGCCAAGTTATTTCAGGCGTTGCAGCCTTCAACTCACTCGTCGCCCCCCTCCTTCTACTGTCGCCATGGTCCGCTGAATTCCCGAGCCTGGCTCCCTCCTCTTTCTGACCGCAATGTCCGCGGCGCTGTGGGGCTGGCAGCCTCTCCGCCCTGTCTCCCCTCGCCCTTCTGTGTTTTTCCAACCTTCGGCGTGAGTCCTCCCACGGTTGCTGCGATATCAGCGGTTGGGCAGGCTGGTCGCGGAAGTGGCAGCGGATGAAACAGACCACGAGCGCCACCTGGCCCTGCTCTTGGCATGTCTGCGGTGTGTCCCATTGCGGCTGGTGGCGGAAGTGGCAGTGGATGAAGTAGACCACGAGCGGACCCAGTCCGCTCCCAGGCGCAGGACACCCTTCTTTCACTCAGTCTGAGGCCCTCACAGTCAACCCTCTCTGTGTAACTTCCTCTCCTTGGTCATCCCCTTTTCTCCTGTCGGCACCTCCTGACCCACAGGGCAGGGTGGGCCCACTCAGCATGTTTTTCTGCACACTCATACTCAGCTTCGCCTCTCCATTCTTCTTTCATGCATGTTGGCCAGAATCTTTGCTTACAGGCCAGCCTATTAGGCCACCCGTACTAAGATAGTCCATGGTGCTCAGGGTTCGTGCCTAACCCGAAAAGAACTTAGGAAACAAGGACGAGGTCCCAGGGACCAAGGAGTTTCGGGGTGAGCCGAAACACCGTGGGCTGCAACCCGAGAGCTGCCACAGCCTGCGCCTGCCCTCACTTGTCACCTTTTGCCGCAAGCCTGTATCTACAAATCGGAGGCAGGTGGACACGGAGGCGGACGAGGTGGAGGAGGACACCAGTTCGTTGGCCGAGCAGCGCTAGCCTGAAGTGCGGGATGAGTTGCGGGCGTTTTTTATACAGTTTGCACTAGCCTCGACACTCGCGCACATCACACCAAGTTTGCATACAGGCCAGCCTTGCCAAGCGCCGGCCTTGCACGCCTCTATTTAATATCTCATGCTTGCATTGTGCTGTATCTCATTGTTCCTTCTATTACGTGCCGCCTAGTAGCTATGCGTGTACCCGACATAATGGGTGTTTGTTTACTCTTCTCGCGTTTGCGGTTTGTGACAGGAGTTCTCCTGCCAGACCACTTGCAGCCGTAGCTGGTCTGCCGCATTCGTACCTCATTTCTTGTAGCCTATTTGCTGGCTTGTATGTTGTCTTGGCATCCCCCCCTCCCGCGCCATCTTACAGCCGCATGCTTAGTTCGCATGCTTCTGCCACTGCACAGCTTGCCTGGCCACATCACGAGGTTTGGAAAGGGAACTCATCAATTGGTGGGTTGGGTACCAATGTAAACTTGGCCTGCTGTTGTCTTCTACTAGGCGGGCGCATGCTCTAAGGCACTTCTTTTCTAGTATGTTTGCCTCTCTTTGCCCGCTTCGTCCGCCAGGTAATGTTTGTCGACCCTGGGCCCAAGTCGGCCTCTTCAGTTTTGTTGTAACCACAAGACGCCACGATCATCCGATCTAGATCCGCGCAGCGTCGTAAAAAGAGGAGTGGAGGGGGAGGAGGGGGAAGGATGTGGATGGAGGATGGAGTGTGGAGGAGGAGGAGGATGGAGGATTGTGGGGGGGGGGGAAGGGGGGACGAGGACGAGGAGGGGTGCGACGAGCATGGAGGATCCAGCCAGGCCGCCCTCGAATGGGGCACCTCGCGCAGCTCGCGGGACTCCGTCCTCGCCGAGACCGCGCGTGGCGGCCCTGGCGTGATTGATGACGCCCCGCCTGGCCGGCAGCAGGAGCCTCTGGCGCGGGCTCGGGCGACGACCACGGCGACAGCGACGACGTCGACTACGACGACGACGACGACGCTGACAACGGCGATGACGAGGAAGACGACGACGAGGACGACGAACGACGACGACGACGACGACGACGACGACGACGACGACGACGACGACGACGACGACGACGACGACAGTGACGACGACGACGACGACGGCGGCGGCGGCGGCGGCGGGAATCCTGGGATTTGTGTCTATTTATTTGTGTGTCTCTTGGGGGTGTCCTGGGGCCGTCCTGCGCCATCCTGGAGGCAACACGCGGCCATCGCCGGCCGTGTTTTGCTCTTGAGGCCCGTCTCTGGGCCTCTGGCCTCCTGGCTCCGAGGCCTCCGCCTGGCCTTTGGAGTCATCTTCGAGGCCTCCTGGCTCTCTTGGCCGTCTGGTTGCGCGTCCCTATGGAAGTTTTGGGGCAACCTGGAGCGCTCAGGAGTCTGACCACCCCCCCTCCCAGGGTTCATTTCGATTGCATCGGTCCGATTCGATGTCGCGCCGGCCGGCCCAGTCCGATTCGATTCCGCTGTTCCTAAGATCCGAAGCGACCCCAAGATCGACGAAGAAGAAGCTGGCTAAACGTATACCTCTGGGCTCCGAGCGGATTTGCTGGATCTGCGCGGGACCCCCCTTGACGGCACCGCCCTTGGCGCGCTCCGCGCGCCACAGAGGGGGCCTGGCGCATGTCCAACAAATCTGCGCGGATCTCCGACTTGTTATGTTTATGCCGCTGCTTCTTGTTCTGCTGGAGTGGCCAGGAGACTGACCCCCCTCTCAGGCTTTTAAGGTCGCCCCACCCACCCGCTAGTAGACAATAGAAAGGAGACACAGGACTGGAGAGACAAGAGGCAAGCCAAACCATACATAACAAGCAACACGATTCAGCTGTCCAGCAACATTCTTCGCAGCCTCGAGGCCCCAATGGGCCCACCTGAGGGTGAGGAGGACGAGGAGGAGAAGGGCGAGTATGACGAGGATGCAGCCGGGGGCTCGAGCTGACGCCCGCCCCCTGGCCATGGCGCGTTGGGACCTCAACGCGTACCCGGTGAGGCACGCAGGCCCGGCCCCTTCCTCTCACATCCATCTCCTCCGAGCCCGAGCGGTCAGGCAGCCCCGAAGTACGACTTGGCCTCATTTCGCGTGTCGCGACGACGATGCCCAGGGCTGCCCGCATGTCGAGTGCAGCATCGTTTCGGCGAAGACGCCCGCGGGGCTCGAACGAACCTCTTCCTCCTTCTCCTCCTGACGCTCCTCCTGACTCCTCCGCTTCCTCCTCCCCGCTTACCTTCGCCTGCACCCCTCTTCCCCCTCTCCCCTCCCCTTATTCGCCCTATCCCCTTCCCTCCCTCCTCCTCCGCCCCCCTTCGCACATCCCCACCTTTGTCCTCCCCCCCGCTTCCCCCCACGAGCCTCCTCTCTTCGCCCTGCCCGCCGCCATTTTCCCCTCTCTGTCGACCTTCCCCCTCGCCCTGCCTCTCGCCCTCCGTTTCTCCACTCTTCCTTTCGCCCTTCAGCCTCCCTGCCCCACTCCGCCCTGGGGGAGGGACGAAAGGGAAGAGGAGGACGAGGCGGAGGAGGAGGAGGAGGAGGAATATCAGTGTAAACCCAAGACGCATCAACGATGCTGCAATACACCTTCCCTTCAGGTTCCCTCGTCACAGGTCCGTACAAGACTTCATTCTCATTGCGGGGAGTGGCCCACCGACCGTCTGAGAAGGTTCAATCTTGCAACACGCAATTCCTGGGACACTCTGAAAACCGTGTCAGAGCACCCTGTACGCATCCTCGAAGCGGTTGCAAACTCTACGAGGAAAGTGCTCGGCTCCGAGTTTGGAGAGCCGCGTTTCGAGAAGGAGCCGCCTTCCGTCCTGGAAGCTGCTGCACATTTCATTTTAGAAAGGAGGCATGTGTGCGGCGCTGAGGCGAGAGCCACATTTGGAGAACCATCCGCCCTGCATCCGTAAAGCTGCTTTGGAATACGAATGTGGGGGGCGCTAGGGCGAGATTCGAATTTTGAAAACCGGCGTTGAGGCGTAAACACCATTTTGAAAGCCAATGGCCCTCCTCCTGTGAAACTGTGGTACTTTTCGAGCTCCAGGGTCACACATGGCGAGGCAGTCTCAGGCGAAACGCCAGCCCGCTTCGCCACCACTCCTGGGGGTGCGACGGGGAGGAGTTTTTCTTATGGGCGTCGCCCTCTGTCAGGCGATCACAAACGTGGATGAAGGGGGCGTGGATTGGCGACGGGTCCCGTTTCCATAGGAACTCGCTGATTGCCGCCGCCGAACGAGGCGCCACCGGCCGCATTTTGGGGAGGGCACCTCCCCCGATCCATGGATTTGGCGACCACGCGCCAAATCCATGGATCGCTAATCCATGTTTGCGCGCCCCCGAGTCTGCCTCCGGCTCCCTTTCTGTCAGAATGGAAGATATCAGAGCCGTGTCTGGGTGCCTGGGCGCCGCCTTGAAGACATCTGGGAACATCATGCGGGGAAGCAAAAGAGTAAGCAAACCACATTGAGATGTCGGGGCTAATGTTGAACACTTTGATGCATTTGTGGAGCGTTCCCCTCATGGTAATTTACAAGGGAGTATGTGGCTTCGGGAGCGCGAGTCAGATGTAATTCAGAAGGGGTCTGGCCGCGGGAACGCGAACCTCACTCACTCACTCACAGCCGGTGAAAGCTTCTTGCCAGCACAACTCGCTTAACAGCTTCAATACCGAGCACGAAACGCCTGGAGATCGACCAGTTGGGATCGTCGTTAAACATTGTCGGAGCAGCGTACTACCGTCTGGGCGCCGTGCACACCAGGGAAACGGGGCCTCAGCCCGATTCTCCATGGGGCCGAAGACTAGCCTCGGGGCTTTTCGCCGACGGCTGGTTTCGCCCGTCTGGTTTCGCCGCCGGGCGAACCAGCTGCCATCGGCGAAGCCAGCTTTTGTCGCCGAAACCAGCTGCCGTCGGCGAAACTGCCCGACCCGCCCGCTAGGGTCCGCCCGTTCGGGTTCGCGCGTGCTCGGTCGTGCGTGCCCCGCATTGCAAAAAAGGCCCGTCCGCCCGACCCGACCCGAGCGTTAGGGTCCGCCCGCCCGACCCGAGCCAACCCGCCCGCTAGGGTCCGCCCGCTTGGCCCGACCCGCCCGTTA